GATTTTTATGTAAGAGAAGATGAGTATAAAATTAAAAAAAAATAGAGTTGAAACTCTGTAATGATAAATTAGAATTGAAATATCCATGTAAATTAATGACTTTTAAAAACTCATTTGCTAACTTTCATCACTGCAGGGTCTAGAAGCAGTGACATGTCAGTAGCAGTGAGTGTGCCCGATACCCAAACATCACTATGAAGCTCTAGGGCTCCCTGGAGAAATGACTCATTGCAGATCTGGGACAGAGGAAATACAAAGTGAGGCTGGGACATTCTGTTGAACTGGAAAGCAATAAAAATTCAAAGATTACTGAAATTGTATCAAAAGGATGCAGGAAAAATCTTTAAAGGACTTCCACTGTCCAAATCTGGGAAAATTTGCACAGTTTTTACAGATACCTCTCATACATCATTGCATATCCTCTAGGATTCACTTTCCTCATTTCAGCCCTATGTAAACTCTTGTGTAGGCATAATCATACATAGCTTCATTTCCTGCTATTCTGTAAGCCCCTTGCTTTTTGCAGTGTCCTCAAGGAAGACCCACACATGTACAACCTGGATGTAAGGTGGAGCTAAACTCAAGTGTAGGGGAATTAATGCCCTTTTGGAAAAGCCTTTGATCAGTGGGAAGTGAAGCCAGTGGGTAAATTTTTCTCCTCTCTTTTCTCCTCCCACCTTAGAGGTGGTCCTGAAATGCAGCTTACATGGCTTCTAAGAGTTCAATCTGACGGATTAAACAGGTGGCCAGCTTGGTATGCAATGTCATTTTGACTCTCCCTGCTTTGCTTTATTCCCCTTGTCCCTCACTCCTGCTCATTGTGATTGGATTACTTTTAAAAACAATATCACAGGGGCGCCTGGGTGGCTCGGTGGGTTAAAGCCTCTGCCTTCTGCTCAGATCATGATCCCAGAGTCCTGGGATCGAACCCCACATCAGGCTCTCTGCTCAGCAGGGAGCCTTCTTCCCGCTCTCTCTCTGCCTGCCTCTCTGCCTACTTGTGATCTCTCTCTGTCAAATAAATAAATAAAATCTTAAAAAAAAATAATATCATATAAGGCTTTTGCTTCAGATCCTACTTTTGGGGGAAACCCAAGTTAGACGGATGGCATCAAATGAAATAATGCCTGTAATTTATTGAAACATTGAATATATAAAGATTTATGAACCATTTTGAATGATACTCTAAAGAAGATGAGGCACCTGGGTGGCTCAGTCGGTTACGCATCTACCTTCAGCTCAGGTCATGATCCCAGGGTGCTGGGATCAAGCCCCACATCGGGCTCCCTGCTCAGCAAGGAGCCTGCTTCTCCCTCTCCCTTTGCCTGTTGCTTCCCCTGCTGTGCTCTCTCTCTTTCTCTCTCTGTCAAATAAATAAATAAAATCTTAACCAAAAAAAAAAAAAAAAAAAAAGAAGAAGAGAAAGGCTTAACCTCACCAAAAATAATCTTCTATTTGCCACCATTGGATGTGAATGTTACCAGCTTTTTACTCTCCAAATTGGTAATTAAAGGAAGCCATTATCAGTCTTTTTCAATTAGAAGTATAGTTGAGGAGAAGCTCTTCTCAATCAAACAAGTCAGCCAATGTAGCAGAAAGAATAGAATTTTTTAAATGACCAGTTTTCAGTCCCTGATGAAATGATTTATTTAGACACAGATCATCAGTAAAGACTGGAATTCTTGGAGGACGTGTTGGTGGAGAACTGCCTATTTGCCATTTTACAAACAGTCACTCTATACCTTACAAGCTAGTTAAAAAGGAAAACAAGTCTTTTCAATAAATAAATTTGCTATTGTTACCTTAACTCATAGAAATACTTTTATTATTGTTTTAAAGGCTTATTGTATTTTCCTGGGTTTTTGCATGCCTAGTAATTTTTGACTGCATGCCAGACATTATGAGTTTTATGCTATATGCTAGATTTCTAAAAATACCTTTATATATTTTTGAATTCTATTCTAGGATGCAGTTAATTTATTTGGAAAGAATTTTATCATTTCTGGACTTACTTGTAAGGTCTATAGAGAAGGACCAGAACACTTAACCTAAGGCTAATTTGGTCCCAATGCCAAGGCAATATCTTTCAGAATATTTAACCCAATTTCTCACATGAGATTTCTTCACTCTGGCTTTTGGGAACAAGAACTGTTTTCAGTCCTGTGTGAATACTGTGAATTCTTCAGCCTGATTCTTTCCTTTCATTCTTTCCTGTCTTTGGAGTTTTCTCACAGATGTGCTAATCAGTTCTCAGATGAAGATTCGAAGGGAGTCCTCTGCATATCTCTGGGATTCTCTGCAGTTCTCTCCTCTGGTATTCTGCCCTGTGAATTTTAGTCACATTGGCCTTCTTGAATTCTCAACCCTTGTCTCTTTAACTGCGAAAGACTGCCACGCTCTGTTTGGGCTCCCCTTCCTGCTCTGCAGCCTGGGGCAATAATTACTTTTTTTCCCTTCTCTCAGGGATTTCTGGGCTGAGCTGCTTGGTGTCCAGTGTCTAAAAACCATTGTTTTATATATTTTGCCCAGTTTCTCAGTTATGTAAGACAGAAGGGTAAATTCAGTCCCTATTATTTCATCATATCCTGAAAGAGAATTACAGTCCACTGTAACTGTACTTTTAAATTTTCAAGTATCAATAGGGTTGGTTAAAGCATATTTGCTTATCTGTTAAAAATTTTTAAAATAACTTTTAGTTTTCTCATCTTGTTTTCAGAGGATGAAGCTTGTACTATTTCCATTTTGGAAATTTGTTAATTTTTTTGTGGATTAATATATGGTCACTTTCTGTGATTTCTTTGCATGTGTTTTTAAAAATGGTGTTTGGTAGAAGTCAAATATAAACACATACAATCATGTGTTGGTTTGAATGTGTATTTTGAATACCTTGTCTTTATTTTGTGCCTTAGAATCATAGATTGATATAACGTCTCCCAGTGTTAAAGTGCCTAAAAAAAAATTAACCTCATAGTTAGTCTAAGTACCATCCTTACTAATCCTGAATTTCTCCAGGTATACCAGAACTCTCTGAGTATAATCTTGAACTCGGGAAGATACAAGGCACTTATTACTAATTGCCCCCTGGTGATTTAAGATAATATCCCTTTAACATTTTTTTCTTTAAGTAAGAAATAAAACTGTAAGTTTTACAAAAGTCCAAATTAAAGGAATAATTGGCAGACTAATTTCTAGTCTTCTTTGGTGCCTATTTCTTAGGTGTTAAGAACCAAATTACCATATAATATATTTAAGTTTTAAAAGTCTACTTTAGGGGTGCCTGGGTGGCTTAGTCAGTTAACCCGTCTGACTCATGACTTGGGCTCAGGTCATAATCTCGGATTGTGAGATTGAGCCGCTCATCTGGCTCCCAGCTCCGTCCCCCGCTGGCTTGAGAGTCCACTTGAGATTCCCTCTGCCCTCTCCCCCCACCTCATGATCTCTCTCTCTCTCTCAGTAAATAAATAAAGTCTTTAAAAGTAAATAAATAGGGTCCCTCGGTGGTTCAGTGCATAGGGCCTCTGCCTTGGGCTCACGTCATGATCTCGGGGTCCTGGGATAGAGCCCTGCATCTGGCTCTCTGCTCAGCAGGGAGCCTGCTTCCCCCTCTCTCTCTGCCTGCCTCTTTGCTTACTTGTGATCTCTCTCTCTCTCTGTCAAATAAATAAATAAAATATTAAAAATAAAAGTAAATAAATAAAACTTGCTTTAAATGAGCCACCTTAAGAAGTACATATTTTTAAATAAATATATGTGTATATCAGGGAATCTATATTAAAAAAATGATAGATAGGTTAAGAAACAAAGTCAAGCTTTATTTATTTGCTTATTTTTCTTAGGGGTAATAACCAACTATTTATAGATTTTTTTTGCCTCGCACTTTATTTAAGCTCATATTCTTAGAGATGCTTTAGCAGAGAATAAGAATAAAACATAATAGGCCTATTAACTTCTGTCCATTCTGTAATTGAGGGATCTGTCTTCAGAAGAAGAGGCCGAGAATTTTGATTGGAAACATACAGTGGGAAACCGAGAACTTGAAAGTCTTTGGGGCTATGGGACTGGAACAGAAAACTCTAAAGCAGGCTCGGATCGGCATTCTCACATGGTCAGCATGTATTCCAAGCTGAGTACATTGCCTCCTAATTCCAGAGAATTCTACAAATGCCATCTAAGTCTGTCACCAACCACCCCACTCAGCTTTCTACCTAATTCCTCATTCTCAGATTTTTCAGAGATCTGTAATTTTAAGACATTTTACTTTATAATTATACATGTGTAATAGTGAAAAAAGTTTTTAAAATACTCTTAAGTCTTTTAAATTCTCATTGAAGAGATATTATGCATCCTGACCAATGTTTTGCATGTGTATGTGGAGTGAGGGGGACTTCTAAACAAAGTGATTATATTTGGTTTGGACATAAATAGTATAAGCTGCTCTACTTAATATTTTTGGTGTCAGGATTTTTCTGTGTTCTTTGTAATTTTCCCTTTTATAACTGCAAATGTTGGATCTAATTCTCAAAATATGCCATATTTTAAAATACATTATACTTTCACATACTTTAAATTATAAACACTCTAATTTAAAAATCTTCCTTGTCTTTTAAAATCCGAAGAGTAAATTCATGATGCTTGAGTATTTTCTTGCTACACTTTTATTATGTTTGGGAGTCAGAATCTTCCCTAAGAAACTAACTTATTAGCAAATGAAGCTGTTATTATCACTATCAACACACCTTTGTTAGAAACTTTTATTTACATTTTTAACCAGCGTTGTCAGGCCATTTTAATCTGTGGACAAAACTACACACATGAGCAACTATAGGACTTAGAATGCGGTGAGGAAAATATTTTGTTTATCCGTAGACTCTTTTGCGGTGAAGGAGCAAGATTTAAATTTGCCTCAGCTTAATTGCTTTACACACATTCTTGTGACACACAGTTGGGAGGGAGGAAGAAAAGGAGGGAGCTGTTACACAGTGGTATGTAGCTAAAAGAGTGCGTTTGAGAGAGAGAGAAGGCAGAAGCAAGCTGGTCTGACCAGAAACAGAACTGCCTGTGACAGATTAAGAGACAAGCAAGGCTTGGAATCTGAGAGCAAGCAAAGAGAGTGGAAATTTACAGCTGCCCTGTGCGAGTGTTCAAGTGATCATTTTCTGCTAACGTTTTCCGGTGGTAACTGTTACTCTTCAAAGAGAGAGAGAAAGTGAAGAGGGGATTGTGGAAACTCTTCTCTCTGCAGCGCTTTTGGGAACAGGAGGCACCCTCTATTAAATGGAAGATAAAGCTACTTTGTGTAAAGTGCTTTGAGCCCGAGAGAGAGCTGTCTTCAGCACCTCACCATGTGTCTACTTTTTGTTGCTTAGACAAGCTTGGACATTTCTATAGCATTTGGTGAGTATCAGCCAGGTTATCTATTCTAGTTCATAGAAATGAAATTGATGTAGTAAACTTCAGTTTTCACTGAGGTTTTATAGTTAGTGCTTATATATTCATTTTAAATCATGTTGTTACCTTGTTTCTTTGTGCATGATGAACTGCTGTTACTAGGAGAGGTTTAAAAAAAACAACAACTACAAAACAATACTTCTCTGTTGCCTAAGGCACTTGAACCATTACCAACTATTCTGTGTCCATGGAATATCTTATTCTGGAAATGGGTTTTTATTTACAAAGAGTTTCCAAAAATAAAATAGTGGCAGTATACCATTTTTCATGTTTCCTTTTCAACTGCCTGAAAATTCAAAAGTTATCTCTTTCTGTCTATTGTTCAATAAACTTAAAACTATCATTGTGATGTTTGGGATTCTCCATTATTGTAAGTTACATCATTCTCTCATAATTCAAATAGAAGTGTTAATGATAACATTCATTAAAAGGACATATCATTTAGTGTTGAATGCTTCTGTTAGATCCAATAAGTGACACGTGATTTTTTCAAGGTTCTGTAATGAATATAAAAATTAGATAATTTACATATCAAATTTACCATTTAATACAAAATGAATGTACATGGATTTCAAATTAAGGATTCAAAGTTATTTTGTTCTATTGCTGATACCAGACTCTCATATAACATTGTTGCTCTGCTGAAGAAATATTATAGCCAGATGCATATATGTATGCCAGCAATATAGCTGAGAAAAGAAAAATAAACTTGTGAATTATGTATTCGCATTACAAGAGAAATTTTATTTGTACAACCTTAGCATAGGACATTGTATACTAATTTTTTATGTCTTTTTAAAGGCATCAGTGGAAGACACGTAATCATTCCTCTGTGGGTGGAAGGAAATATATATTGTTAGCTGCTAAACTGAGTCATTGCATAGAGATGCACCATTCTAAGCTAAGTTTTGAATTTACTCTCTGCCAGCATCAAAAAATATGTCCTTAGTGGTTCAAGTGAGTCCTTTAAGGCAGAACAACTTAGCTGGAATAAAAACTTCTATAGAGTGTCAGTAAGCATATCGAAAGAGTTTACACACTAGACATAATATATAAAATGGCTGTATTTCCTCTGTGTGTACAGAAGCCTGTAGAACAGGTTTTGTTTTGTGAGTTTTTTTTTTTTTTTTCTTAATGCCTTTCACCTAGGTATAAGAAGAAACTCAGCTGGTCTTGGGAAACCTTCTCCAGACCAGTATCTTGCACTTAAAATCAAAAGTAAATAAATTAAAGATAATATCACAAACCAACTTTTCTTCCTCACAGAACTTCCCATACTTGGTCTTAGACCAATGGCAGATTTGCACACAGCTTCACAATTGTCAGAATGTTTTTTTTTTTTTTTTAATTTTAAACTATTAAGTCATTGGTATTACCTTAGTGGTGGCATCATTTCTTAAGCCCATAGGAATGTAAATATGACAGCAAAGAATAAGTCATTCCCAGGTTACAAATGTTTTGTACTTCAGAAGTTTATTGTGAGTGGGTTGTTGGGAATTTGGGACCCATCTCCCCTGGAAAATTATTTAAAAAGTCTTTGTCTGATTTTTATTATAGCTGAAGAAAATATTTTAGCAACACTATAGAAAAACCATTGCCACCCTGAAAAATAGTAGGAAATCAATTCTAGCAACGAAACTAAATGTAAAAACAGTTATGTTGAATAAAACATTTTTATTTATCCTAGATGCTAATGCTTGAAGAAAAGCAAATTTAATAAGATAGATGGGTTTTTGGAAGGATGCTTATAAACAGGATTTCTAGGTACTTTAAAGAGCTTCCAAGAGCTTTGCACACCCTGTATGAGATCTAATCTCATGTTATAATTTGCTGTTTTTATTTTCCTTACTATAGGCCTATTCCTAGCCATTGCTTCTATGCTTATCACCCATTTATGAAGTGTAGCTCAGTGACACATTAAGTAGGTACCTAATAGTTACTAGATGAGGACTAAATTTTTTCTTCGGTTCACAAAAAAGGAAACTGAGTAATTTTTCCAAGATGTCCAAAAAAGGAAAGGGGTTTGGGGCATATGGTTTTCATTATGAGAAAGATATGGCCTGACGAGTATTGACTGAATTGTGAAGTACAAACGAAGCAATAGTAGTGCAGAATAGGCCTATTTAGAGAAAAAGAGAAGACCTTGTATGACTTGGTGGCAGCCCTGAGTGAGCAGGGATGGTGATGAGGGAGGCAGTTTACAAGCTTGGTATCTTGAGTACATGGGACATTCTGAAGTAAGGTGTCAACTTTACGTATTTGCCTAAGTGTGCTTGGACCCATATGAGGAAATGTGGCCTATGTGGAAAACTGAAATTTGGTCTATCTAAATCAAGTTTAGTCACACTAGTCCTAAAAATTTTTCTAAAGTACTCTAGTACAAAGTGTAAAAGTTGATAATGTAATAAACATATATAATGAAATAAATAATACACAGAGCACACTTATACTAGATGATTTTTAGTGGCAGAAAACTTTTCCATCTGATCAAGAAATACTTTCTTCTATTTCAGAACTATAAACCTTGTCTTAATAATCGTAATAATAATATTTAACCAAAATTTGATGACTGTTAATTATATATGTGCTTAGAACAAAGACTAAAACAGAAAAGTGAATTTCGCACTTCCCTTGATAATTCTGTTGTAAAGGATATCAATTGTGAATTTCAGTGAGATCTGATGCTTTGATTACAGGTACTAGTGTTTTGTTGTTGTTGTTGTTTTCTACAGGTACTAGTTTTGAGAACACTGACCTAGCTTCTGACCTCTGCTATAAATTGAGATTGTGAAATTCTAATATAGAATTATCACTCATTGACAATCACTAATAATTAATAGGTATAGAAAATTTTAGCTCTGACAAGTGACTGGAGCAGTCAGTAGAATCACTATGAACCTAATGAATAAAGTTACTGGTGGTTTTTTCCTGGAATAGTAATAGTCTAGTAGGTTGTTATTTATAACAACAAATAAGTTAGCAGTTCTATGTCTTCCTAAGTTCATGTACTAGTTCTATTTTTAAATTATTTCACTGGTTACAATACATTAGAATTCAGGAGTAGTTCCCAAGGACTTGGGTTTCTCTTCTTATAAAAGAGTTTTTATTCCAAAGGAAGTCTGGCCAAGGCTTCCAGGTGAATGAGGATCTATTAAAATTCTCATGAGTTTTCCGTTCCTATGTAAATTGTCTGTTTTTAGTCGTCAAGATCTCCTTCATACTGTGTTAATAAAACTTAATAAAAACAGAATCATTCTTGGTCATTTTGAACTGAGAAAAAGAATTATCAGTGAAAGTCCTTATTTATACTTTATTGTCTACAGATTTTCACTCATTTCTGTAGGTTTTCTAGTAAAGTATTTAGTTGTGGTGCCTTCTAATTACATTTAGCATATGTATTTAAAAATAGGATCATTGGGGCACCTGGGTGGCTCAGTGGGTTAAACGGCTGCCGTCAGCTCAGGTCATGATCTCAGGGTCCTGGGATCGAGCCCTATATCGGGTTTCCTGCTCAGTGGGGAGCCTGCTACTCCTCTTCCTCTCCTGCTCTCTCGCTTACGCTCTCTCTCAAATAAATGAATAAAATCTTTTAAAAAAATGGAATCATTAAAGGATAGAAGACGTTAATTAGATGATACTTTGACACATATGCTCTATAATGGATTTGGTGTCATAGCATGTGTAACTAGATTGATATCTTTGTAATTTATTATTTCTGTGTAGGCACTTCTAAGATATGACATTGTTGGTGGGGGGAGAGGTGACTATTTGGATATGGCAAATACAGTATACTTTTTCAGTTTTAAAATATACCTTAAACCATTTGAAGAGAACAGTTTAATGAATATTGACAAATGTATACACTAATGTAACCTCCATTTCATTAGTTTTTAAAAAATGAATCTTACAGGCCCATTTATCTGCCACAGATGTACTTTGATTTATATCATTTCTACCTGTGAGTTCTGTTTGGAGTGCAGATAAAAGAATCGCGATTCCTGAACTTTTGTGATTTTTTTAAAATGTAGTGCTAAGTTTATTTTAGTTTCTTTAGTTTAAGAGGAGGTACTTATGCCTTAGGTTTAAATTAGCAAGCTTTAAGAAAATTTTGGAAATGTTCCTCTCTCAGTCATTGTTGATTGTAAAATAAACTTATGTGGAAGGAAAGAAGGCTCATTTTTGAGTTGATTTTGTTACAGCGAGTTAGAAGTTTGGTTACTTTTTATAATTTTACCTATGGAAATCTTGAGATTTTTCTTGGCTCTAGAGATAAATTTCTCGCTCTCTTAAACTTTTGTGGGAAACCTTTGAAATTAGAACTATTTTTGAATAGTACAATTGGAGGTTAAACATAAAGGCGTGGAGATACTCATTAGCCATTTAGAGATAAACATTTATTTTCCTTTCAATATTTTAAGGAGTAAAAAGAAGGGAATTGAATGTCCCAAATGACCTTTTCTCCTCGCTTCCCTTTTTCCCTTCCCCTGTAAGCACTCCTCTGCACTTAATGTCACTGAACATATTCAGAGTGATTAACTTTGGGCCATCTTTAATGACGCTCACACATAAGTTAGGACTATGAAATATTTTGCTGTGTATTAGAAAAAGAAATGCTGCCAAAATCTACTATAAAGTCTACAGGGCCTGAGTTCCCTGGGAGCAGAGGTGAATAATTTGTTTTGGCTCTCTCTCCAGATTCTGAGCCAAGTTCTACTCTTTACGAAATTTCATAGCCAAACTAACAGAAATCATATTTGTTTGACTAATGCTTTGAAAAGACATGGTGATCCGATATTCCACAGTTTGAACTTTAAAACACAGTTGTTTAGTCATTAAAAATATCATTTATGAGAAGGTGTTTCCATTATGAAAGTATTTGCATGGGCTATTAAACAAAGCTTGGAAAAAAAATTTGAAGGAAAAGGAAAATTTAGCATCCGTAAGCT